CGGTGTGTTCTTCTATTGCTTCCTTTTCTCTTCTTGTTTCACATAAACCTATAATATCCCATTTTATTGACATAACAGCGTATCTTAATTCCTCTATTTTGCTGTTTGATAATAAGGTCCTTACATTAATACTTGCTATGTAGAGGTTTTGTGGTTTTTGTTGTTTGTTTATGTTTTATATTGTTGTTTTTATTATTAATCTTGTTTGATTGTTTTTTTTTTTTTTGTGATTTAGGAGGTGGTGGTCTGACTCCTCCACGGTGACCAGCCGGCTTGGGGGAGGTAGAGAGGTTGCAGAGACGCTAATTAGTTTTTTGAAATATCTTCTACGTTTACAGTTGCTATTGCTCGATTGTTGAGATTTAGCTGCGACGGACGTAGGAAGCTGGTTATAGTATGTGACTTATTTCTTTTAGGTACTTGTTTTGTTTGTTCGTTGTCGTATTCTTTTGCAGTTTCATTCACTGTTTCTTCAGGCGATTTAGACATAAAACGTTTGTTTATGTTTCGTTCTGTGGGTGTATGTACTTCAGATACACGTGCTTTTAGTGTCACAATTTTGTCGTATCGTAAAGCCACTCTTTTTCCTGACTCTCTCTCGCGTTTAAGGTCTTCTTGTAACTCTTTCCGTTTTTGTAACACGCTAGGTGGAAAATCTTCTTTCAGGTAAATGTTTGTACCCTCCAGCGATTTTTTCTTCTTAAGTATCTCTATTCTCCTGCTTGTTGTTGTTATTGTGACAACCACTGGTCTGACTTTTCCTGATTTTTTCCCATCCTATTTACGTGTTCGATTTCCCATTTCTGGCAAGGTATTTCCATTTCGTTGTTAATTATATCTAAAACTATGGAGAGTAAACTTTCATATCCCTTTTCTTTTTCTTCGATCCCAAAGAATACAATATTTTTTCTTCTAAGCTGTTTATCTAAGTTTTCTATGGTTTTTTGTTGTTGTTCAATTTTCGTTTCTAATTGTTTAGTTTTATTTTCAAAAATAATAAATTTTTCGTCTATTTTATTATTTATAGATTCTTTGATATTTTGCTCCATCTCTTTAATTTCTTGCTTGTTTTTTGATATGTCGTCTTGTATGTTTTGTATAATTTTTAAGACTTCCTCCATTGTAAAAGTAATAAACACGCCCTCTATTACAATTGCAACAAATGTTTGGTATTAACTGCTTGCGCAGGGTTTGAATCGTATCTTATAGGTAGTTTTGTTAATTGCCGATAGATGGCGCTATTGTGAGTATTTTAATGGCAATGATTTTTATATTTTTCTATGAGTAATTTGAGGTTATAATATAAATTTTTCTAAACGGATTTTTTTTTTACCTTTATGCCTTTCTTGGATTTTAAATAACTGGTTTAGTTGATCTTATGCGTTGGTTTCTTCAATATTTCACAGTAGAAGCGTCTAACTTTGAGTTTAGTTACCGGCAGTTTTTCGGATATTTGCACAAAACATTTGTCCGATAAATTTTCAACTTATTTCAGGTGTTTATAGCTACTACACTTCAATTTACAAACTTTTATATTTAATAAAACACAATTATATCACCTCAGCTGGGCCAGGTCTCATACACATACACATCACTAAACACTACTTTCATGCAACTTACACCCACCTACGGCCTGACCGAGCCTTGGGGCGGTCTTAGATTCGGATACAGGTACGTACTATATTTTTCTAGCCTTCTCCCTACAGTTTAGTATGATAGGACATTTTTCCATATGGCCATTTGGGCCCGACCCGCGTCTGCCAGTCGAGGAGGCTGCTATGGGCCCCAGCCAAGGCGATCTTTGCAGGGGCATCTGCGGGCCGTAACAAGTAATAAATGTGAAAAGAAGAAAAAAATACTCGTACAAATAAAAAAAACCGTTTAAGAAATTTAAGAGGTAGGAGTAGTTTGGCAGGCATGTTGGTAATCGCAGTTTTATTTTATTATTTTCAGTTGTTATCAGTAAGATGTCACATCTCTTTATTTTATTTCCCTATGTCACCTCTTGGCCTCGTGGCCGTGTAGTGGCGGTTAAGAATATCCACTACCCCATATCTTCCCGTGGGTGTCCTAAAAGGCGACAAAGGGAAACAGGCAGGAGATGGGCAGCAGCATCTTCCTGATAACATCAAAATTACAATAAAAAAACATCGGTTGCCAACGTGCTCGCCAAGCGTGGCAACTATGGCAAATACTCCTCTATGATGAGAGTAACAAAGAGACGGCCCCCAGTCCCCGGCGGCCCCGCTATTCCTGGCTACGGTGGCGATCATGGTAACGGCGGAGCAGGGGGTGCTAAGAATCTCCGGTGGAGGTTCGGTTGCCACCTAAGACGACTCGACCTGGCAACATAGAACGCACGCACCCTGAGGACTGACTAGAAGATCGTGGAGCTGGAAGAAGAGATAGACAAGTTACGCTGGCATATTGTAGGATTATCCGAGGTCCGAAGAGAAGGGGAGGACACGGTAATCCCCGAATCCTACAACTTGCTCTATCACCGTGAGGGCGACCATCTGTCCCAAGGAGGTGTCGGATTTATCGTCCACAAGTCTCTCGTTAACAACGTTGTAAAGATTGAGAGTGTGCCTTATACTCAGAATCACCAAACGGTATTCGCTGAAGGTCATACAGGTTTACGCACCAACCTCGGCACACCCCGATGAGGTGGAGGTGGAGGAAATGTATGTGGATATCTCTAGAGCCATTCATTCCTCCAAAACCCACTATACGGTGTTAATGGGAAACTTCAATGCAAAACTAGGCACAAGAGAGTACGGTGAGCTGATAGTAGGGAAATTTGGAATAGTGCAATGGAACCCAAGGGGCCAGCAGCTGACCGACTTCATGGAGAAAGAGGGACTCTTTATGATGAACTCTTTCTTCCAGAAGTGGACCCACAAGAAGTGGCCCTGCAATGAAGTGGACTATATGAATGACAAGCTCGTGGAAACTGTCCATGCGGTTGGAGCTAAGTTCTGCAAGACCCACCGCAGAAGAACACAAAAACTCTCCGATCACACTCTTAATCTCATGGCTGTTAGACGGGAGATGAAGCTACATTCTTCAACAGATTTGACAGCATACAGGCAACTGAACAGACAGATCTCCAAATGCATGCGGCGGGACTTACGCAACTTCAATACAGCTCGTATTGAAGAAGCGATCGAGCGGAACCAAGGCTCCAAAGTCTTTGCCAGAGATCTGTCTGCCAGAAAGAGCCACCTGTCAAAGCTGAAGACCTAGTGTGGCAGCATCGTTTCCGGGACACCTGAGATTTTGAGTGAGATTGAGAGGTTCTATGGGCAGCTGTACACGTCATCGTTGGAGCCACACGCAAGTGTGAGTAACGATCCAAGAGCGAGTCTTATCCGACACTATTCCGAAGATATCCCGGACGTCAGTCTGAGCGAGATTAGAATGGCTCTCCAGCACCTTAAAAACGGAAAGTCCCCGGGCGAGGATGGAATTACAGCGGAGCTTTTGAAAGCGGGTGGAAAACCGGAACTTTAAGTCCTTCAGAAGCTCTTTAATTCCGTCCTCCATGGTGGCACTCCTCCGAAGGCGTGGGGCAGAAGTGCGGTGGTCTTGTTCTTCAAGAAAGGCGACAACGCTCTCTTGAAGAACTACAGACCGATTTCCCTTCTGAGCCGCGTCTACGTGCTGTTTTCGAGAGTCATTACGAATCGTCTCGCACGCAGATTTGACGACTTCCAGCCTCCCGAGCAAGCCGGTCTCCGAAAAGGCTTTAGTACCGTAGACCACATGCATACCCTGCGGCAGATTGTACAGAAGACAGAGTAGTATAATCTACCACTTTGCCCTGCGTATGTGGACTACGAGAAAGCCTTTGATTCCGGCGAAATTTGGGCGGTGCTGCAGTCCCTTCAGCGGTGCCAAGCTGACTGTCGGTATATTGAAGTGCTGAAGTGTTTGTACAGTAGTATCCTAGTACGAAACCTATCTAACTACAAAGAGGTGTAAGACTTGCTGACGTTATATCCCCGAAACTCTTCACCGCTGCATTGGAAGACGTTTTCAAGCTGCAGGACTGGAAAGGATGCGGTATTAACATCAATGGCGAGTACATCACTCACCTTCGATTTGCCGACGATATAGTCCTTATGGCAGAATCGCTGGAGGACCTAAGCACTATGCTCAATGACCTCAATAGTGGCTCCCAACGGATAGGTCTTAAGATGAACATGGACAAAACAAAAATCATGTTTAACGTCCATGTCACACCTATGCCGGTAGTTGTTGCGAGCTCGAAGTTGTTGACGAGTATAATTACCTGGGACAAATAGTCCGACTAGGTAAGTCCAACTTCGATCAAGAGGTCAATCGACGGATTCAACTCGGCTGGGCAGCGTTCGGGAAACTACGACACATCTTCTCGTTAGACGTACCTCAAAACCGTAGAGTCTATCACCTGAGGATGCCTCGTATAGAGGCGAAACACGTGTCGTATTGTCGTCAATGGTGTGTGTTTTCTAGTGTAGTGGTGTTGGGAGTAGAGGTGCTGGGATTAGTGGTGACGGGGATAGTGCACACAATTGAAGGAGGGCGGGAGGTGCTCTTCATACTAGGTAAGACACATAATTTTATTTTATCTAGCGGATGTACGCAAAGTAATTTTTTGTCAAATTTAATATAATGAACTTCCGCAAAGTAACGCCTGATTCTATTAATTATCGTCAATCATCAAAATTTTATGTCAAATTGTTTATTTATATACAATCATTTAAAAAAGTTTGGATATTTAGTGACCGCTGATATTGCCGTGTTTCTTTCTACTTAACGATTTACACTCGTAACGAATATTCGTTCTTTATTATTTATTTTTAATACCTCCACACCGTTTCCGAATAAACCTCTGTGAGAGCATTAAAACCGTTTTAGCGGGATTTAAAGATTTAAAATAAGGAAGAAATATAATGTTCACCTTGATAGGTAAACTTTCACAAAAATATTGTCTTTACGCATTGTTTTTCTTACAGAAATTCATGTACTACGTTCTAAAGAGTAGCGACGTCCTTGAGGTGCTGGTACCGATACTGTTTCACTTGAACGACTCCCGAGCCGATCAATGTAAGTCAATTATGTTACTATCATTTTAAACTCAAAAGAAATATTTTACTTTTCTGTTTCCGGCAAATTTAAATTATATTTTAGGTATTCATTTGATCATTCATTCATTACAGCTTATTAAAAGTCCACTGCTGCCTTTCCCATAGATTGCTTCATTGGGGAGATATTTGTGTTAATTACCATGCTTGTCAAGCGGGTTGGCAACCGCACTTTTTTTATGAAATTCAGTTGTTATCAGGAAGATGCCCATCTTTTGTTTAACTTCCCTCTGTCACATCTAACAACATCTACAGGTTGATTTGGGGTAATGGACTCTCTTATGCTGCCACTACATTCAGATTCAGATATTTGCCCCCCCCCCCCTTCTCCCCCTAAAGCCGGCGCTGTATACTCTGGTATTCTTCTCACAGGAGTAAAAGCGTGGTCCGTTCCCATCAAGGAGATTTATTCAGCTGCATCGTGGTTCTACCACGTTAAACATTAATTACTGTTAATCTTTCGAAAGCTGTATTTGCAATCTAAACTTAGGCAAATGGGTCAACTCGACGACTACGCTCTCACATAATACTAGCATTAAAAGGCAGCTTAATGCTGCTGTGTTTCGTATGGTGAGTGTAGGGAACCGGAGTCCTCAGGGATGACCACGCATTTGCATTTTAATTTGTAATTATAGAATAGAATAAAATGGAATAATTTTTATTAAATATAGATTATTACATAATAGTTATTGAAAGTCATTTTTTTATTCACTATAATTAAGGATAAACGTATATATGGGCCACAGCATCCTCTTACCGTCAGGTGAACTGTATGCTCGTTTGTCACCCTTATTCTATATAAAAGAACATCATCCCTCTCAGCTCGCGTTGGACTGATGCACATTGGTGTGTTCATCCTGCTGTTGCTCTCGGGCGAGCGCAACTTCGGCGTGCGGCTGAACAAGCCGTACACGGCGACGGTGCCGATGGACATCGCTGTGTTCACGGGCACGCACGCCGACCTGCTGGTGGTGGTGTTCCACAAGATCATCACCACGGGCCACCAGCGCCTGCAGCCTCTCTTCGACTGCCTGCTCACCATACTCGTCAATGGTACCTATCGTTTTGTTTATCTTCTTTTTCAGTAACGGTATACTAATGAATTTGGGCTTCACGCTGTAGGAAGGATTAAAGATCGCAGTACATGATGTCTTGCACATGTTTACATCTGTCATATACTAGATGGTATACCGCCATTTGTCGGAGGCCAATGTATGTCAAAGTCAAAAATATATTATTCAGTTTATTTATTTTATAATTTATAATTAAAATTCTTGGTTTGCATTTGTGCGCGCATCACGGAAAAACTACTGGATAGATTTCAATTAGGTTTTCTAAGGTTTATTTACGGTTTATTTACGGTCATCGCATAACACACACTGACTGTGACTGGGAACTGAACGCGCTTAAAACTGAAAGGAAAGTTATTTCTTAATAGAGGGATTTTGGGCAGTGCTGCCAGATCAAAAAACTCATTCAGCGCTAGGACAACACAAAAAGCGCTAGATTTCATGAAAACAGCGCTTTAAAAAAGCGCTAGATTTCGCGCTAAATTAACTACAAACAAAGTTTGTGTTTTTTATTATAATTTATATTCAAGAAAATATAATCATAATAAAGAAAACAACATTAAGTTTTTTTCCGGCAATATTTTTTTTGATGTATCAATACTTCGCAGGACATCGACTTATAATTATGGCAATTGCAGTCAACAGTAGTAGTAGGTTTGAGATATCTTTATTTCTCATAAGAATTTACAACAATTCACTTACATGAGAAAGTTTAAATACTTGCAAACAAATAATAATCTTATCCTAGGCGTACACTAATATATCGAAATCATTTCACTCAAACACGTTCAAATCGTAAGTATACATTTTAAATAATTTTGATTTCTAAGTATAAACAAAATACAACTTAGCTATGCTCTATTCAATCTTTGTTATCTCTATTTTAACTTAGCTATGCTCTAAACAACTGACTGAAACTGAATAAAGCAAAATAAATGCGTTGCCAAAACCACGAACGAAAACTTTAATAAAGGGGATCTCCCCGCTTATACTCGTCGGTAAAGAAAATATAGTTGATCATCCTTAAAGGGGGAGCCGGGAGCTCTATGTTTTGTGAAAAAAAAATGTTTAAAAAAGATAAACTGCAATGTACTATTTGTGGGAAAAAATAATAAAGGTCATTATTATCGGTAATTTGGACTAACAGTGCTGCTAACCCGCTAGTCGCTACAATTTTGAAATGTGTGCTAAATACACCAAAAAGCGCTGAATTAAGCGTTATCTAGATCTAGTTTACTAAGCGCTAAAATGGCAGCACTGATTTTGCGTATATTATAAATACAATATCACGACATTTCGTTGCAATTTTGTTACTTTTGGTCGGGTTTCGTTGTATGGCTTCGGTAGATACAAATTTCTTCAGTAAGTCTCAATACGATTCACCTGCGGAGAACATCAACACTCCAATTCAGAAAAGGTTGTAATTTGTACAACTCCATCTAAAACGTCCTTTGTGTGAGAAAAGATCTTTTTTTAATCTCTTTTTGTGTTTTAAGTATAAATATATTAATATTAATTATTATGGAACTTTTTTTTTACACTTTTTTCTTACGTGGTAGAGCCATGCTGCAGCTATATTAGTAGTATATTTGTAGCACGAATGGGTCGGCTCGACCGGGGAAGGACCACGCTCTCACAGAATACCAGCGTCAAATAGCAGCTCAACACTGCTGTGTTTCGTATGGTGAGTGTAGAGAACCGGAGACCCTTTTTACTGGAAACGAGGCATTCCATCTTAGTCCTCACGGGTGGCAACGCATCTGCATTTTGATTCGCAAACGAGGATAAATGTAGATGTCTATGGGCCACAGCAACCACTTACCATCAGGTGGACTGTGTGCTCGTTTGTCACCCTATAATATAAAAAAAAAAAACACAGAAATCTTTTTATTACTATTTCTGAGATTTTATGGCGCCATTGAACAAATTCGAACCTACATTTCAAAATAATAATCATTACTTTCGATAGAATTAACCAGTTTTAATAAAACAAAGATTAAAAGTAACTCGAAGATACGCTTTATGATTTTCTTAATAATTTCTTTAAAAAAAAAGATGTTTACTTTAGACGTGATGCGTTCATAAAAAACAGACAAACAGACAGACAGACAATTCTAATAATTCTAAAAATGTACTTATTTAATTATTTTCAGTTCCCCATAGTGATTTTAGCCACAAAAATATACTATACAATGTAAAGAAATAGACAACATGTTATCATCATTTTTATTATATGTATATATTTAAAGAGAGATGGCGCTGCTAACATCAATTCTAAAAATAAAAGAGATTAATTGACGCGATTGATACATTATATAAAACATAAAAGAACTTATAAATCAGTGCCTGCACAGTACGCAAAAAATGAAGTTTGATCCTCGCCAAAACCAACGCGATTGTTAATAGTTCTTTTAAAATTTGATTTACCACATAGAGTACTCGGCGGTAAAGAATAAATTGAGTTTGTCAACACGCAGTAGGGCAGCGAGTATTATAAAAATTAGCAGTAAATATGAAAACTCATCTACAGGAAAAAACCACAACTTGCCATTTGCACAACACCACCATCTATCGATGATTGGTTAACTATTGTACTTTTAGGTTTAGTTAATAAGGTTAATATATTTTTGTATAATATATTTATTAATGCGTTCTTTAATACTTTTGTTTACTACGCTTTAGATATACATAGTTATATCATTATAGAACATTATTTTACATCATTTAATTATGATATACGATATGATATTAGTTTAAAATGCACTTGATGACTCAACCAAAGCCACCGTTGAGCACATTCGTACCTATACTTTCCTACCCATACTTCAGAATATTTATCATAACTTTTGATGGAATGAACTGATTTTAATGAAATAAAGACTAAATGTAACTCGAAGATACACTTTATAATTTCCTTAACAATTCTTATGATATAAATTAGTACTTTTTACGTGATACGTTAACAAACAAACAGACAGACAGACAGAAAATTCTAAAAATGGTAGAAATGTATTTAATTACTTATTTTTAGTACCCCTCAATCACTTTTATTACAAAAATATAAAATGTACATACATCTGCTATTTACATTTTTTTATATGTATAGATATTGAATACATCTTAAAAGAAGGCTTGAAAAATAAGACAGATGAAAAAAAGCAACTTACATCCGTCAAAATAAGGCCGATATTGACGATATACAAAGTTATATATTATGTTGTTTATATTGTATTCGACAGTTGACTATTATTAATATTATTTTTGTAACTTTTCTTATTTTAACCTATTTTTATTATTTCTGAACATTAATTGCCTGATTAAGTTATTTAATTTGTTTATACGTGGAATAAAAAAAATGAGTTTATTATTTTTTATTACTTCCCGTTGTGACAACCCTAGCAATTTTATTTGTCACGACGACAGTAGAGACAATGTCAGATTTTCCGACAACATCAAACGCGATGATTGTGTCTGTATGTACTGTAGACTGTGGTTTTGGTTGAGAAAGTATTTCTTGCCTTTCCTATATTCGTACGTTACAAAAACATATTAAATTAATGATTTACTTTTTTCATTGTGCAGTGTCACCATATCTGAAAACCTTGTCTATGGTCGCGTCCACAAAGCTCTTACATCTGCTGGAGGCGTTCAGCACACCGTGGTTCCTTTTCTCGCAGCCGCACCACTACCATCTCGTGTTCTTCCTGCTCGAGATGTTCAACAACATGATACAGTATCAGTTTGATGGTGAGCGTTTATTTTATAATATTTAAACATTTATTTTAGGCAGTCCTTTAAAGAGTAGCCTTTTAAACTTAAGTTCTATTATATAAATAATGATATACCTTTATTATAGTTTAGTGAAAATACGGGTAAATAATGTTTCTATTTTTATTTAAAATTATGATAAGTTTTTGCCTACCGCTCGAACCTTACGAATGTGTGCGTGCGCAGTAAAATCAGTTAAAATAATGCATTCCTAAGCATTATGAATTTAAAAGATAAAAAGGATAGAATAATTGAGTTTTTTTTTTAAATTAATTTTTTTCACCATTTGTTTAAATTATTTATTCTGAACCTTCTCTGGAAATTTGACTGTATATGTTTAGATAAATTAAAGTAAGGTGAAGAAATGATACACTATTTTAGGGTTCCACTTCCCTAAAGTCAATTGAACAATCTTTTTCATACAACTGTAATTTTTAATTACTTTACGGTGTATTTTATTCTAATGAATAACTTTTACTTGATTATTGAAAACTCGGCTCTACTTTCGATCCATGTAAACAGGGAGTTTTATTTCGACTTTCCTTTAGTGGAGTGATATCAGATAGGTAGTTTAAAAAAAAAGTTAAATATTGTAATTAAGGTTCGTAATGCCAATATAAGATATGATTAAGCTTAGTTTTTGAAACATCATGTATAGTCTGCAATATGCAAACCCTTATTCGCGCACGTGCTAAATCAGTTTAGGTATTTATGATTGGCTTATACTGCAATCTTTTTTATGGAATAGCTGCAGTTTGGCCCTCCATGCAAAAAGGATGAATCACTTGAATGTTCGGAATAACAAATGTTGCAGGCAACTCGAACCTGGTGTACACGATCATACGCAAGCGTAGCGTGTTCCACGCGCTGGCCAACTTGCCGCACGAGCACACCGCCATCGCGCGCTCGCTGGCCGCCGCGCGACCTGCTCGCCCTCCGCACAGGTCAGTTGCAGTCCCGCCGCTGGGCACAGTCCCACCGCTGGGCTCAGTCCCACCACTGGGCACAGTTCCACGCGCTGGCCAACTTGCCGCACGAGCACACCGCCATCGCGCGCTCGCTGGCCGCCGCGCGACCTGCTCGCCCTCCGCACAGGTCAGTTGCAGTCCCGCCGCTGGGCACAGTCCCACCGCTGGGCTCAGTCCCACCACTGGACACAGTTCCACGCGCTGGCCAACTTGCCGCACGAGCACACCGCCATCGCGCGCTCGCTGGCCGCCGCGCGACCTGCTCGCCCTCCGCACAGGTCAGTTGCAGTCCCGCCGCTGGGCACAGTCCCACCGCTGGGCTCAGTCCCACCACTGGGCACAGTTCCACGCGCTGGCCAACTTGCCGCACGAGCACACCGCCATCGCGCGCTCGCTGGCCGCCGCGCGACCTGCTCGCCCTCCGCACAGGTCAGTTGCAGTCCCGCCGCTGGGCACAGTCCCACCGCTGGGCTCAGTCCCACCACTGGGCACAGTTCCACGCGCTGGCAAACTTGCCGCACGAGCACACCGCCATCGCGCGCTCGCTGGCCGCCGCGCGACCTGCTCGCCCTCCGCACAGGTCAGTTGCAGTCCCGCCGCTGGGCACAGTCCCACCGCTGGGCTCAGTCCCACCACTGGGCACAGTTCCACGCGCTGGCCAACTTGCCGCACGAGCACACCGCCATCGCGCGCTCGCTGGCCGCCGCGCGACCTGCTCGCCCTCCGCACAGGTCAGTTGCAGTCCCGCCGCTGGGCACAGTCCCACCGCTGGGCTCAGTCCCACCACTGGGCACAGTTCCACGCGCTGGCCAACTTGCCGCACGAGCACACCGCCATCGCGCGCTCGCTGGCCGCCGCGCGACCTGCTCGCCCTCCGCACAGGTCAGTTGCAGTCCCGCCGCTGGGCACAGTCCCACCGCTGGGCTCAGTCCCACCACTGGGCACAGTTCCACGCGCTGGCCAACTTGCCGCACGAGCACACCGCCATCGCGCGCTCGCTGGCCGCCGCGCGACCTGCTCGCCCTCCGCACAGGTCAGTTGCAGTCCCGCCGCTGGGCACAGTCCCACCGCTGGGCTCAGTCCCACCACTGGGCACAGTTCCACGCGCTGGCCAACTTGCCGCACGAGCACACCGCCATCGCGCGCTCGCTGGCCGCCGCGCGACCTGCTCGCCCTCCGCACAGGTCAGTTGCAGTCCCGCCGCTGGGCACAGTCCCACCGCTGGGCTCAGTCCCACCACTGGGCACAGTTCCACGCGCTGGCCAACTTGCCTTGCAAGTTGCATCCGTTGGGTATCACAAAACTCACAATGTAGGGAAAATATGGTTTATCGATCATAGTCAGAATATGTACTTTATCTAAGTTACCATTTCGCAATGTATTTTTTACTGTTTATTAATAGCCCTTAGTTACCACGGAAAATTCGCCGTGACGTAGGAAGGGGAAAAGATGCAAAGTAATACGGACACTCACGTGTAGTGATAAAGTTTTATTTAGCTTGCGTGCACGATTTATCTAATCTATACAAATAAATAAAATTGAAGTGTCTGTTTGTAATGTAAAAATTACAGTTTTTTACTAAATGCATATGAAGTAAATACGGTACTTATAACTAAAATACAATTTTTAAATTTTTGTCTGTCTGCCTGTCTGTTTGTTCCGGGTAATCTCCGAAACGGCTGGACCGATTTTGACGGGACTTTCACTGGCAGATAGCTGATTTCATAAGGAGTAACTTAGGCTACTTTTATTTTAGAAAAATAATTAGGGTTCCGCACAAAAACATAAAAACCCTAACACGCGAGCAAAGTCGCGGGGAACAGCTAGTTAATAATAATTATGTAGGTTACTAGAACGTCGGAAAGCAGTCAACATCAAAGAAGTGCAACGTCTGTACGTAGTACTATTATTTAATCTGTGCTTTGGCCAGTACGTGTGCTGCGTCGATGCCCTTGGATTTGGTGCATTAACATACCTAATTTAGCCGTTGATAACATTCATATATTAGCCCCAAGTATATTATATTGCAACTTAGAGCCTGTAGAACCACCAACCACCTTCTTGGTTAACTTTACTGGACTGTAAATATTGATAGGTAATTAAGTGATGATAGAGCCGTGGTAGCTCAAGGGTTAAGCGCTTGCTGTAAATTTCACAGTACGAGAGCAACGTGTTCGATTCCTGCGGCACCAATGAAATTGTTAATTGCAATTTTAAGTGCTGATTTATCACGCGCTTGGCCGCGAAGGAAAACAATCATGAGGAAACCTCCACGTCTGAGAAATAAGAAAAAATATTTCGAAGACATGTGAACTACGCCAACACGCATTGGTGTAATCTCTCAGAAATAAGAGGAGGCCTGTGCCTAACATATGGTGAATATATTATTAACATATACCAATATTTACCAGTTACTCGACTCCAGTCAGTATTTCCTTCATGGTGCATGTATTACATATACGATTTTACAACAAAGTCCCCGAAAATATGTAGACCTTACCTATCAAAAAGTTTAAAATATATATTAAGCTGAACTACTAAAGAGTACATGATTTCGTCACTGGAAAGCCAATACTACTTAAACGCCAAAAAGGCATTTTACAGTAGAGCCATTTTAAGTTTTTTTTTTACAAAACCGGGCTTAACTTTTTAAAATATCGTGACTATTATTTACGTATTGGAATCGAGATATTCTGCATATTTCTTGTAATTCAGAAAATAGCTGTCAAATACTAACAACTAACGTCATTTCCAATGTATGAAAAGAAACACGCATTACGGGTTGGTAACGGTTTCAGGATTATAGTACTTAAACATTATAACTTGTCACAAGACCGCACGGAAACGCGATGTATAGTATTAAAAGTTGGTACCATTGTTATGCCAAAAAGACTTATGTAAAAGACATGATTTAAATTTAAATGTTTTTTTCATAATGGACATAGACAGTACTTGTGCCTACAATAATTGTACTAGCAGCAAACAAAATAAATAATTATACTATGATTCCTAATTCGAGTTAGATTGAATCTTTTTACTGTATTGGTTGAAGAAAGAAAAACCAAAATATTAACTTGCTTAGTAATCACTTTTAATGAAAAATAATAGTAAGAAAATGACAGGATAGTTTATTGACAGTTTTAAAACTTGGTTACTTGTAGCAAACATGTGGCAAAAGGCACGCAACACAATTTTATTATTAATCTACAATAATAATTATGTATTAAGTAACCTATTATTTGGCACAATTTTCGAAGAGATTAAATTGATATGCTTAGTAGATTTTGAATAGCTTGTGAAAAAAAAGTTGTATCTAATCATGCAGTTTGGAAAATAATACCTAAATGGTATTAAAAATCTACTAAATCTGAGTTTAATTATTGTGTAAAATAAACTTTAAATTTATAATACTTTTAAATAATTTTTATATAAAACTAATTTTACGGTTTTTATTGCATATATTAACTTGTTTTATATTCCCGACGTGTCGAGAACTTTACAGTACCCATGGTCACGGGGGGACTGAGGTGTCCCAATGTCATAGTTAACCTTCAGATAAAAAATTATTAATTTTTGTTCCGATCTACGCAGTATAAACTTATTATTTTATTAAGTATAGGATCCCAAGCATTATCTCTATTATATCTCTATTAAAATTAGGATGTTTTTTGATTTCAATAGCCTCGCGAATCATCCTTGGAACGAATCGGTGTTCTTTAGCGAGGATTTGTGGTCTGTCAAATCTAATTTAGTGACGGGGGCGATCCTGTACGTGTTTACAGACTGCAGACTTCCCGGAGCGTCGATTCTTCACATCAGCTATGTGTTCTTTAACGTGGGGTTTTATGGATCTTTTAGTTTGTTCTATATAAGAGAGACCAAATTCACAATCAAGCTTGTACACTCCTGCATCTTTCAGAGGGACATTACACTTGACTGATGGTAAAAACTGACTAATCTTCTTCGGCGAGTTGAAGTATGTTTTAATGGTAGCCCGCTTCAAGATGTAGCCAATCTTGTCAGTGACACCTCTGACATATGGCAGTACAGTAGGTACTCGCTCAGCTGTGGTCGGCTTCACTCGTTCACTGTGATGTAGGCGCGGGACCCGAAGCATATTGTCGTGCAAAACTTGCTTGACGTGTTTGAGGCCAGGTGTGATTTACCCACGGTAGCTAACTGTGAAGGATGGTGATGAGAATCACCGTTTAAATATCTATCTGTATGGATCTTTTTTCTATACACTGTGTGGCTCAAGGTGTTATCAGGATTCCAAATTACTAACACATCTAGAAAAGCTAAAGAATTGTTTGCCTCTAACTCCATTGTGAACTAGGCGTGTGTATCTCTTTACGGAAACGACTCACTGATACGAATCACTGAAGTGACACAAAAGATTGGTTCAGTAACAACGTTTCAAATGTATCATTTGTATCTGGAACAGTGACACATTACTTTGCTCTTTGCTCATTTCGCGCGATGCGTCGCTTGCGAGGCTTCTGAGCCACGAGCGAGAGAAAGAGACTGAGACAATGATTAACTTAACTATTGACTCACGAGCGGCGAGTGAGCGGGCTAAATAATTATAATTCACACAAGTAAGATAGAGATAACAAATAAGAAGTGTATCACTCAACTCGTACGGATTTTCGCTGTCGTTATTCATGCACGTAAAAATTGCCACTAACGCGCTTAAGTGTCAAATACTATACGGTCGTTTTTTGTATGTAACGTTTGCATTAACAAGTTGTCATTTTACGTTGATGCGGCACTTGTCAAATTGTTTATATTCATTAGCGCCTGTTTACGAAAACATACTGAGTTATGTTTAGGATTTCTTTGCGTAGTAATTATTGTGACTTTACTTTCTTCCTTTTCATCATAAAGTTTAGAGTTATGATACTTTACGAGTAAATTCTGTGTACATAGACATTGCTGTTTTGTGTGAATGGATATTTTTGTAAATAATGAATTGT